ATTTCAGGCTACATCACAATTGAGACCCTACCTCTCTCAGATTTGTGGGGATCGATATTGTGACCCCGCACTGGGGAAGCATATACAAAAAACGTGCGTGCGGTCTCGCAGTTAGAAACAAAATGGGTATACGAATTAGACACTTTATACCTTAGGGGACACAATATAGAGGTGGATATTAACTGCTTTATTAATAATAGTTAATTATTTAATATATTTATTGGGGTCCCCCTTTCATTTTATTACTCTGGTTCTAGCTAATCTTTATATACCATCCCCCTATCTACAACAGTCAGAGCTTTGTTGATTTTCCTCTGAAGACGTGCTGTTGCACAAAAGGCCTCAGGAAATCAACAAGCTGTGACGTCACGCCGCCGGAGCCATGATCTGGTCCGGCGGCCATCTTTAGTGATGGTCAGTGTACCTGTTTTTTCTTGAAGTGTCATTTTCTGGATTTAAATAAAATTTATTGATTTTGGAAATACTACACTATGGGTACTATTCTTATGGCTTCTTTATGGAGCCTTTAGGCCTGCAGAACCTGTGAGAAGAGCCAGTCTGAACCGGTATCCAGAGGAAGGGAATCCCTGTAAACAGATGGCTGACCCTATCCATCCTGAAGGAGATCTCTGGAGCCAAGTAGACATCTTCCACTGACCACAGAGCTGCCCATTCCCAGACGGATAACCTACAGACACCTACTTTTAGTTCCTGTGGTGGAATTATTATGTGCATAAACTATGCACATCTGGTAAGTGCCCTACAGACACCTACCACACATCACTACTTTTAGTACCTGTGGCAGAATTATTTATGCGAATCTGGTAAGTGCCCAATCCCACCATTTTCTACAGCACTGTATCATCTATATTGGCATATCCCCGGATTGCGTCAAAGATGAGTTCTCAGTCTCAGTGCCCATTCTCTGCCACCCCCTGCAGGAGGGAGGAGAAAGCTGAATCTTCTCTCCAGCGGAAACCAGCTGTTGCTCCTTCTTCAGTTACACCTGGCAAAGAAGAGCAGCATGAGTGACCAAATCGCCAGTGCACCCCCCCCCAACACAGCATCTGCCCACCCCACTTTGTCTTGGGCCTGATCATGGGCGCCCCATGCACTTTGGGCTCATGGGCAGTGCCCAGGTGTGCCCCTTCATTAACACTAGAAATTCTGAAGGGCCCCCTGCACACTGGTATATACCCTTCAAGCAGACTATGCAATAAATAGGGATATTTAGTTCACACATATTGCAATACATGCTTAAGCTGGCCAACTGCGTGAAAGTAATCCCTCTATGGCCAGTCCTACTCTGCTCTGCCTACGTTGTCAGCACCTGTGGTAGTGAGCTCTTTGATCCACAACTTGGGATTCCCAAGAGTGTGGGTCTAAGCCCCAACCTGCTTGTCCACCGGGGCCCCTGATGGTGGGGATGGACTTGCAGCAAGCTGGGACCAGATCGCGGCCCTCAGCTCCACCCAGTTGAGGTAGAGGAGTCTGCTAGCGGGAGCAGGGTACAACGGGAGTAGACACAGGAAATCCAGTAGGCAAGCTGAGGTCAGGACAGGCGAAAAACTAGCAATATCAGGAACGAAGGCTGGGTCGGTACACAGATAGACTATAAAGGATTCTCAGTAGAAACACAAGGGAGCTCCGACAACAACATGTTGCTCAGGCAAAGTGGGCCTGACTGAGCATGTCTTAAATAGACAAGCCAGCTAGGAGGCGGCCCAGGAAGTGATGAGAGGGAAGGGCATAAAGCCCAGGGAATAGCAGACGACGCCTACGGTTGAGCACAGACAAACACACATGTGAAACACACAGAAGAGAAACATGGAAAACATTAGGGATTCTCAGATGTGAAGGGAGGCAAAGTTTAAAAACAACAGGATTGACCTGGCTGAGGATGGTAAACAAACCAATGAAATGAGGAGCAAATTTCATAGAGGGTACTCATAGACGGATATTCTTGGTATAGAGCCAAGCCTTGTCACCAAGGAAAAATTTGGGACTCACGCAGCGATGGCGATCTGCAGCCGTTTTGTACTTCGAAGCTGCCAGATGTAAATTCTTGGAAACCTCTGCCCAGATGGAATTGAATGATTGTTGTTTATCTGCAGCCGTGGGTACCGTAGAAGAGATAGGAACAGGAAATGGCACCGAAGGATGATGACCATACACTGTGAAAAAAGGGGACTCACCAGTACGGGCACTGGCATGGTTATTAAGGGCAAACTCTGTCCATGGTAGAAGGTCTACCCAATCATCCTGATGGGCCAAAATGAAGGCACGCATATAGCGTTCCACATTCTGGTTGACCCTTTCGGTTTGGCCATTAGACTGCAGATGAAAGGCTGAAGAGAAGTCCAACTCGACTCCGAAGGACGTGGCTAGAACCCTCCAGAAGCGAGCTGTAAATTGAACCCCTCTATCAGAAACGATGTGTGAAGGCATACTGTGAAGACAAAAAATTTCCTTAATGAAGTTGGAGGCCAACGTGACGGCCGAAGGAAGTCCCGTAAGTGGAGTTAGGTGGCACATTTTAGAAAACCTGTCCACAACCACCCAGATAGCAGTGGAACCAGCAGAAGGGGGTAGTTTGAAGATAAAGTCCATAGAAATGCAACGCCAAGGTTCATCTGGAACTGGTAGAGGTAAAAGGAGGCCTGCTGGAGCAGACGTGGAGGACTTAGATTGCATACAAATGGAGCAAGCCTGGACATATTCTTCAACATCCTTCTGCAGTGAGGGCCACCAGTAATGACACTGCAGGAAGGCACAGGTGCGTTGTACCCCAGGATGTCCAGAAAGTTTAGAGTCATGTGCCCATTTGAGTAACTTGGGACGAAGGGCAGGAACCATAAAGGTCTTTCCGGGTGGGATACGTTTAGGCTTAAGATGAGTGGTGGCTAGGATCCGATTGGCAGAAATTATAGGTTCCGGTTCAATATGACACTCAGAGTCAGCACTGTCAAATGATCTAGACAAGGCATCTGCATGGGCATTTTTGGAACCGGGCCCAGAAGGTAATGTCAAAATTAAATCTGGCAAAGAAGAGAGCCCATCGTGCTTGTCTGGGATTCAATTGGCGGGTGGACTGGTGATAGTGGAGGTTCTTATGATCCGTATAAATCAGAATGCGATGTGGAGATCCCTCCAGCAGATGTTGCCATTTCTGCAGTGCCAGCTTTATCGCCGGCAGTTCCTGAACACCGATGGTGTAATTATTTTTAGCATCCAAAAACTTCTTAGAGAAGGCACACAAGGATGGAGCTTACCATCATGAATTTGGAGAAGGATGGCCCCCGCTCCCAAAGATGAAGCATCTACCTCCAAGAAAAGAGGCTGAAAAATGTTCGGACGTAAGAGAATTGAAGCAGAGAGAAAGGCGGATTTTAGTCTGTGGAATGCGTCAACTGCCTCAGAAGGCCAGGTTCTGGTGTTGGAACCCTTTGAGTCAAAGAAGTGATTGGGGCCACCAGCGAAGAATAGTCAGGAATGAACTGGCAATAGAAGTTAGTGAATTCCAAGAAGCGCTGTGTGGCTTTCAACCCAGAGGGCTGAGGCCAGTTGGACATGGCTTGGAGTTTGGCAGGATCCATAAGCAGCCCTTTATCCATGACTATGTAGCCTAGAAAAGGAACCTGGGTTTGTTTGAAGACACACGTCTTCAATTTTGCATACAGGCGGTGGTCCTGAAGACGTAGGAGAACAGTACTCATATGCTGATGATGAGTTCCTAAATCTGGAGAAAAAATTAGTATGTCATCCAGATAGACAATGACACTGTCAGGAATGGACTTGCCAGTAATGGTGGGACTCACCTGCCTTGTGGGCTGCAGTACCAGGGCTGGCCTGCGGGTGCTCCCAGCAATCAGAGACTCAACCCTGCAGCCAGCCAATCACCTGAAACTGCTTATGCAGGTGTATTTAAGTGATGACCAGACCTGCAGTCTTTGCCTTGGTGTGTGTGTTTTTCCTGGGCCCTGTATCTTGTTCCTGCATTCCTGTTCCTGTCTTGTTGCTGACCCTGCTTGATCCTGACCTCTGCTGACTTCTCCTGTTCTGATCCCTGGCTTGTGACCCCGACCATTCTCTGCCTGACCCCCTGTACCTACCTACCTGTTAGTTGCTGTACCCGGCTCGTGACCTGACTACTCTCTGCCTGCTCCTCCTGTTCCTACCTGCCCGTTTGTTATTGACCCGGCCTGCCTGATGACGCTTGCATTGTATGTATTATCTGTGGGTGGTTTGGTTTGTTTGCACTGTGTTATGTTTTAGTATTGCACTGCGTTTATGTTTGTATTGTTAGTCTTGAATAAATTATATTGTTTATAACTTATCTGAAGCCTGCGTTTCCCTGCGTCAGTCACATACCTTTGGTAATACCCGGAGCCCTGACATTACACCAAGGCCAATCCTGACCAGAAGTGGCTGCACAGGGAAGCCATCTTGGCTTGTTGCTGGGAAAGATGGATCTTGATGAGGTTGTGTATTTGTCGCTGCTGGTTTTTGATGACAGAGAATATGCTTATCAGACCCTGAAGGAGTATCCCCGGGATGAACTGCTAGAATGTATACGGGTCGCTCATGTCCTAGTAGATCAGGGCACAGAGTTCTCTGAGGTGCAGCCATTGATTCAGGTTTGTGTAGAGTTGGCTTCATCTGGTACCCCTGAAAGCAGGAATGACTTTTTGCCACCATTTAGTGCCGACCAGGTAGAGTCCCTGGTGTGGTTATTAGAGGATGATGTGGATTGCTTCTTGGAGCATTATGCTGCATGTTCACCACAGACACTAAGAGATTGTATAAACGCAGTGCAGTCTTTGGTCAGACAGGCTTTGTGTAAGCTCAGCTTTGTTCAACCCATACTGCAGACATGGTCAGACTTGTTGCACCCAGCCTCAGTCAGCTTACAAAAACCCAGTCCTGCTTCTAACCTATTTCCTCAAAGCTCTATTCCTGTATTCCCAACAGCACCTCCAGTTACAGCCCAGTATACCCTGCTATCTACCGCATGTCAGTACCCTGTTCCCACTCTCTGCACCTATCCTGCCTTTAACCCTGTAAAGAAGCCCTCTGTAGCAACTGCTCCCTCCCCTGTTCCATCCTCCAGCTCTTCTCTGTCTCCAGCTGCTCCATTCGTTTGCAGACCTGCGTTTACTTGCAGTGCTCCAGTAGTTAAAACCAGAAAAAAGCGAAAATTCTTTCCAACCAATACCATCCTGCCAGTATCCAAACCGGTCAGCCTCCCATCTGAGAACCTGCCTTCCGTGGTTCAGCCTGGTGCCTCGGCACCCGCACTTCAGCCTGATGTCTGTACCAGCCTGATGTCTGTACCCAGCCTGATGAACTGATCCAGCCTGATGATCCTATCATGCCTGGTGACCCGGTGCCCGCTGTCATGCCTGGTGACCCGATGCCCGCAGTCGAGCCAGACGATCCAATCAACGCCTGATGACCCAGTGCCCGCTGTCATACCTGGTGACCCGGTGCCCGCTGTCCATCCAGACGATCCGGTGCCTGGTGACCCAGTGCCCGCTGTCATACCTGGTGACCCGATGCCCGCTGTCGAGCCAGACAACCCAATGCCTGATGACCCAGTGCCCGCTGTCATGCCTGGTGACCCGATGCCCGCTGTCCAGCCAGACGATCCAATGTCTGACCCAGTGCCCGCGGTCATGCCAGTTGACTCGGAGCCCACTGTCGTGCCTGGTGACTCGGTGCCCACTGGCGAGCCAAATGACCTGATGCCTGGTGACCCGATGCCCGCTGTCCAGCCAGACGATCCAATGTCTGACCCAGTGCCCGCGGTCATGCCAGTTGACTCGGAGCCCACTGTCGTGCCTGGTGACTCGGTGCCTGTCGCTCCGCCTGGGGGCCCAAGACCTGTCGCTCCGCCTGGGGGTCCGGCGCCCGCTGCTCCGCCTGGGGGCCCGAGACCTGTCGCTCCGCCTGGGGGTCCGGCGCCCGCCGCTCTGCCTGGGGGCCCGAGACCTGTCGCTCCGCCTGGGGGTCCGGCGCCCGCTGCTCCGCCTGGGGGCCCGAGACCTGTCGCTCCGCCTGGGGGTCCGGCGCCCGCCGCTCCGCCTGGGGGCCCGATGCCTGTCGCTCCGCCTGGGGTCCGCGCCCGCCGCTCCGCCTGGGGGCCCGAGACCTGTCGCTCCGCCTGGGGGTCCGGCGCCCGCCGCTCCGCCTGGGGGCCTGAGACCTGTCGCTCCGCCTGGGGGTCCGGCGCCCACCGCTCCGCCTGGGGGCCCGAGACCTGTTGCTCCGCCTGGGGGTCCGGCGCCCGCTGCTCCGCCTGGGGGCCCGAGACCTGTCGCTCCGCCTGGGGGTCCGGCGCCCGCCGCTCCGCCTGGGGGCCCGAGACCTGTCGCTCCGCCTGGGGGTCCGGCGCCCTCCGCTCCGCCTGGGGGCCCGATGCCTGTCGCTCCGCCTGGGGTCCGGCGCCCGCCGCTCCGCCTGGGGGCCTGGTGCCTTTCGCCCCGCCTGGTGGCCCGGTGCCTGCTGCTCCGCCTGGTGGCCCGGTGCCTGCTGCTCCGCCTGGTGGCCCAGTGCCTGCTGCTCCCGCCTGGTGGCCCGGTGCCTGCTGCTCCGCCTGTTGATCCGATGTGCCTCTGCCCGGAGTCCAGCCCGATGTGCCTCTGCCCGGAGTCCAGCCCGATGTGCCTCTGCCCGGAGTCCAGCCCGATGTGCCTCTGCCCAGAGTCCAGCCCGATGTGCCGCTGCCCGGAGTCCAGCCCGATGTGCCGCTGCCCGGAGTCCAGCCCGATGAGCCGCTGCCAGGAGTCCAGCCCGATGTGCCGCTGCCCGGAGTCCTGCCCGATGTGCCAGTCTTTGATATCCCGCCAGTTACCAGACCCAGGCGGTGGAACATTTTGCCCAGCTAGGACTGTTTGGAGCGTCCTGAGGCCGCTCCTTGAGGGGGGGGTACTGTCAGGAATGGACTTGCCAGTAATGGTGGGACTCACCTGCCTTGTGGGCTGCAGTACCAGGGCTGGCCTGCGGGTGCTCCCAGCAATCAGAGACTCAACCCTGCAGCCAGCCAAACACCTGAAACTGCTTATGCAGGTGTATTTAAGTGATGGCCAGACCTGCAGTCTTTGCCTTGGTGTGTGTGTGTTTTTCCTGGGCCCTGTATCTTGTTCCTGCATTCCTGTTCCTGTTCCTGTCTTGTTGCTGACCCTGCTTGATCCTGACCTCTGCTGACTTCTCCTGTTCTGATCCCTGGCTTGTGACCCCGACCATTCTCTGCCTGACCCCCTGTACCTACCTGTTAGTTGCTGTACCCGGCTCGTGACCTGACTACTCTCTGCCTGCTCCTCCTGTTCCTACCTGCCCGTTTGTTATTGACCCGGCCTGCCTGACGATGCTTGCATTGTATGTATTATCTGTGGGTGGTTTGGTTCGTTTGCACTGTGTTATGTGTTAGTATTGCACTGCGTTTATGTTTGTATTGTTAGTCTTTAATAAATTATATTGTTTATAACTTATCTGAAGTCTGCATTTCCCTGCGTCAGTCACATACCTCTGGTCATACCCTGGAGCCCTGACAGACACAAACATACAGAATATCAGAAAAAATGTCATTAATGAAGTTCTGGAAGACGGCTTGAGCATTACACAAGCCAATGGGCATTACTAGATATTCATAATAACCGTCTCTGGTATTGAAAGCTGTCTTCCACTCATCACCCTCATGGATCCCAACCAGATTGTATGCTCCATGGAGGTCTTTGTGAAAATTTGAGCATACCGGAGTCTGTCAAGGAGTTCCGAAATCAGAGGTAAAGGGTACCGATTCTTGACGGTGATAGCATCGATGCCTCTATAATCAATGCAGGGTCATAGCGTACCATCTTTTTTCTCCACAAAGAAGAAGCCAGCCCCAGCAGGAGAATTGAACTTATGGATAAATCCTTTCTGCAGATTCTCCTGGATGTATTTAGACATGGTTTGAGTCTCAGCAATGGAGAAGGGTAAACTTTACCTAGTGGTGGAGAAGACCCAGGTTGAATGTCAATAGTACAATCATAGGGACGGTGAGGCAGCAGAGAGTCAGCAGCTTTATTGCAGAAGACATCTTGGAAGGCCTGATAGTGCGGAGGGAGTATCGGAGAGGTGATTACCTCAGCCACGGGTACAGACCTAGGAGGACACACTTTAGGGAGACAAGTCTGATGGCATTGTGACTCCCACAATAATACTTGGCCAGAGTTCCAGTCAAGATAGGGTGAATGTTTCTTCAACCATTGGAGTCCCAGAATGATGGGACTTGAAGACTTAGGAAGGACCAGGAAGGAGATTTCCTCACGATGAAGAATGCCTACATGCATAGTTATGCTGTTAGTTCAAAAGCGTAGAGGTCCTAAGGCCAAGATAGAGCCATCAACTGCAGATACTGATAGGGGAGTCAAAGGAACAAGAGGAATGCCCAATTCAGCAGCCAAGGATTGTTCGATTAAATTTCTGGCTACCCCAGAGTCCACATAAGCCTAAACCTGATAGGAGTTCAGAGCCCAATGGATGGAGACAGGTATAAGAAATCGAGGGAAGGAGGCGGAGTTCAGGTTCTGGTCTAGATCACCTCCCTCAAAACGATCTAGACCAAAGAGTTTCACGGACGGATTGGAGAAGAGTTAATTACATGACCCTTAGCCCCAGAGTAAAGGCATAGACCAAGTCTTAAGCGATGCGATTACTCTTGTGGAGTGAGGCGTGTTCGACCCAACTGCATAGGTTCCTCGGAAGTTGGCCCGGCTGTGGAGGTAGGTGGTTCAGGGAATTTTTGGAACACAGAAGCAAACAAACCCACTTGGGAATGATGTGGACCAGACTTTTCCAGATCTTGTTCCTAGAAGCGGACATCGATTTGATGCTAAGCGTAATCAAGTCATCCAGGACGGTGGGTATGTTTCTTCCAGCTAATTTGTCCTTAATACGGTTCACTAGACCTTGCCAAAAGATTTCAGACAGGGCTTCATCATTCCATGCAAGTTCTGAAGCCAAGGTGTGAAACTGAACTGCATACTGACCAACAGTCATGCTACCTTGGCGTAGCTGAAGAAGGGCTCCCGCAGCAGATGAAGTCCTGCCAGGCACGTCAAAGGTTTTCCGGAAAGCTTGCTGGAAAGCTGGGAGACTGGAGATAGTGGGGTCCTGATGCTCCCGAAGTGGCGAGGCCCAAGCCAGAGCTTCACCTAAAAGGAGGGAAATCATGTATGCCATTTTGGAATGATCAATAAAGAAATGATCGGCTGCTAGTTCAAAATGAATCGAGAACTGATTGATGAAGCCTCGACAAGCCTTGGGATCACCAGAGAAGTGAGGCGGTGGGGGCAGCTGGAGTCTCGCAGGATGGTGTTCCACTGGGGGAACAGCGGAAGGTGGAACAGCATTAGCCGGAGCAAGGGCCGGAACCAAAGCAGAGGGTGAGGAAGTGGCCCCAGCCTGTAGCTGATCCAACCGTGAGGAGATTTCCTGCAGACAGTGCATAATCTGTTCTTGTTAGGCTTGCTGGACATCGACTCTCTGCACCAAACCCTGAAGTTGTTTCAGGAGAGGCCGCGGTGTCTTTGAGGAGCTCATGGACTGAGCAAACTGTCAGCATCTGTGGTAGTGAGCTCTTTGATCCACAACTTGGGATTCCCCAGGGTGTGGAGTCTAAGCCCCAACCTGCTTATTCACCAGGGCCCCTGATGGTGGGGATGGACTTGCAGCAGGCTGGGACCAAGTCGCGGCCCCCAGGTACACCCAGTTGAGATAAAGGAGACCACTAGAGGGTACAACGGGAGTAGACACAGGAAATCCAGTAGGCAAGCCAAGGTAAAGGATTCTCAGTAGACACACAAGGGAGCTCCAACGACAACACGTTGCTCAGGCAAACTGGGACTGACTGAGCATGTCTTAAATAGACAAGCCAGCTAGAAGGCGGCCCAGGAAGTGATGAAAGGGAAGGACATAAAGTCGGGGAATAGCAGACAACGCCCATAGGTGAGCACAGACAAACACACATGTGAAGGAATCAAGAGCAGCAAGGAGGTAAGAATAAACACACAAGAAGCTGCAGGCTAACTTGTGACATCCGCAAATGCTACTGTGGACACAATGCCAACATTGGGGAAAGAGAAAGTGGATTACTTTGACGCAGTTGGCCAACTTAAGCATGTATTGCAATATGTGTGAACTAAATATCCCTACTTATTGCATAGTCTGCTTGAAGGGTACATACCAGTGCGCAGAGGGCCCTTCAGGATTTCTAGTGTTAATATGTGGTTGCACCCCTTTAGCACCTGATGATGGTAAATGCATGTACTAGCTGTTGGGATTTGAGCACAGGTATATCTTTGTTTTTTTTTTCCTTCATTAAGACAGCCCTGTCCTACACCTGTTTCTATGGTTACACCTCCACACGCTTATCCTTGATTATGAATTTGCACATTTTTGATCTTGCTTCATTAGTGGCCCATGGTGCACCTGGAAATGGGTGGCCTGGTCTGATGTGCCCCATTTGTTTTCATCATGAAGATGGCTGGGTGTGTGGGAAAGATGGCACCAGATACAGTATGGGAAGAAGGAAAGTCAGTAGAAGCAGAGTGATGCCTCAGATTGCTTTCTTGCCATAAAGCATCCCATTTTGCTGTTATGCTGGGAATATTCTGTTGGGAAACCTTGGGTTCTGCCAATCATGTGAATGTTACTTGACATGTACCACCTACCTAAACATTGTTGTTAACTAAGTACATACCTTCATGGAAATGACAATCCCTGATGGCATTGCCGTCTTTCAGCATGATAATTTGCTCTGCCATACTGCAAAAATTCTTCAAAAATGGTTTGAGGAATAGAGGTTTGAGGTGTTAACTTGACCACCAAATTCTCCAGATC